TGCTGAGGTCGCCACAGCAAATTGATGCTGAGTGCCCAAGGCCAGGGCACCTGCCCAGAGCCTCTTCCTAGAGTTTGTTGTATTTATTTCCACAACAGGCCTTATTCCTATTAATGTATAAAAGCCAAGCCATGCTGGCGATGACTCATCTACTCTCCCATTGGCCACTGGCGAAGCTGCCTTGGCACCGATTGTCCCGTCCCACCGGCTGCTCCATTCTTATACCCACACTTTTGATGCATTGCACCTTGGGAGTTGTAGTTCTTAGCTGGCCTTACTGCAGCCATAGCAAAGGGAATTAGAACTACAGCTCCCAAGTTGGGAGTCCCAAGAGGCTGTGGGGAATTAGCAGGAAGTCAGTTGAAGTGTTAATCAGTTAAACTTTTAAACAGGAACTGGGGGGGGGGGGTAGTCCTGGATATCTCCCTGAATTACAACTGATCTCCACACTAAAGAGATCTGTCCCCATGGAGAAAATGGTTGTTGTGAGGGTAACACTCAGGAGGACTACATATGCCTGCCTGAGCTCCCTGGAGGAAGAGTGGTAATAAAATAAATAATCTGCTATGCTATCTTTATCAATAGAAAAGAGCAAGGGTCCAATAGCACCTTAAAGACTAACAAAATTTGTAGCAGGGTATGAGCTTTCATGAGTCACTGCTCACTTCTTCAGATATTCATAATGTGTTTATAACTCTTAGTGCAGTCTATGACGAACAGCCTAGAATAAGAAAGAGCAAGTGAGTGAACTAACTCTGCTCAAGTACTCAGAATATACCTGAACTAATGAGATACAGAGAAATTAGAAAAGACAACTGAACCATCTGCATAGCAGGCACAAAACTGATTTTATAAGCAGTGGTGCATTTTAGGCCTCCACAGCCACTACAACAAGCAGTTTTCTTTACAAGGGATCTAGAAAAAGGAATACTTTGATCAGAAGCAAAGAAGGCACCCTGATCAAGCTTTATTCACATTACTAATTACATGCAATTTGATATGACTAGTTGTTTCAGAATGTGAATTGGGATGCCCATTTAATCCAGTAAAAATAATTCAGTACAGATAGACAGCATCAACACTTTCTTGCATTCTTCCATGCACAGGTCTCCTTGTCTACATTTGGGGAAGTATGTGCAGTATTCCAACTCCTTAAGGGTATCAACCTCCAGGTGGGGCCTGGAACACTTTCAGAATTAGAACTGATCTCCAGTCTACAGAGATTAGTTTCCCAGGAGGAAACAGATCAAAATGAGTAGCCATGTTAGTCTGTCTGTAGCCATAAGTCCAGTAGCACTTTAAAGACTAACAAAATTTGTGGCAGGGTATGAGCTTTCGTGAGTCACTGCTCACTTCTTCAAAAGTGAAGAAGTGAGCAGTGACTCACAAAAGCCCATAACCTGCCACAAATTTTGCTAGTCTTTAAGGTGCTACTGGACTTCTGCTCATTACAGGAGGAAATGGCAACTTTAGAGAGTGGGGTCTACTGAGTGTAGGAATAACCTGCATTGTTCCTCTTCCCCCCTGCCTGTGATTGGCAGTCTGAAATTGAGGAAGTAACTGTCAGCTATGCTACCATTGCAAGTGGGGGGGGGATGAGACTCTTCTTCATGCCTCTGGTATTTTGTCTTTCGATTCCCACTCACCATCTTATCTTGTAGCTCAGACAAATGACCTTGTCGCTTCTTTCTGCAGGCTTTGCTGGGAACCTAGGCTCATTAGTTTTAAGTGCAATTTCTTGCTTTGCTTATTGGCTTACCTGCATCAAGGGTTCAGTTTGAATTCTGTATAACTGTGTTTTTCCCGCCTGGGACCCCAGTTCTGACACTAACTGTGTAACCAGATTGACTTGCTTATACTGCTCAATAAACCTGATCCTAGTTAAAGAACGTTGTTGGGACTGTTTTTGGCAAGACTCTGACAGTAACTCTGAAATCTTCCATCTGATTCTTTTAGATTTGTGGTACTATTTTATTTATACATACCATCTTATGTTTTGATGTTTTTATCATGTTGTACATCACTCAGAGCAATTCACAAATTTAATGAATGAATGAAATAATGGAAGGCCTAGAGTGGCTACAGAGAATGGGTGTTCTAGGACCTCTGTTTCTCCTGTTGTATACCACAGAGAGTAGGGGATACTGATTGTTGCCTATAAAGTCACTATAGGCCAGAGGCCAGTAGGTGCTTGACAGAGGGATAGGATGAGGGACTTTGGGTTTTAGCGGCCTGATGGCGGCCACATCCCCAGGGAGCTCCTGGGGGGCGATCCACGGACCAGCGCAAGGAGAGGGGGGGTGAATCTCCACGCCCCCCTGGGACTCTTGCGATGGGTCCCTTCCCATGAAGCGCTGAGGGTCACCTCTCTGTGGGCACGCTGTCAGCAGATTGAGGCTTCCCTTTGCCCCGAAGGTCTCTGCGCTGTGTTCCCGAATGGGACTAAGCAACGCACACCAGGACAAGTGCTTGGAGGTACAGCGACAAAATCGTTACCTGGCGAGATCCGAGTGATCAGACATTGAGGAGTGAGTCCGATAAAGTGAGAACACCAGAGAATGAGTGAGTCCCCGGAAAGAACAAATAAGCGATTAAAGAAAAGCCTTTGTAGTGGGGACGGAGTTTCAAGCAGCAATAGACTGTATTAGAGAGACTCCAGGAGCTAAATAAGCATTTGAGCAAGTTTTTAGGACTTTGGCAAATTCTATTAAAAAGTAAACATGTTTAAAAATGGTGCTCGGTGATGCAGTAGAAGCAGCAAGCGAGATCGAAGCTTTCTTCAGGAAGTGGAAGAGCAACTGGCCCATGTGACCAGAAGTAACCATAGACTCTTTCAGGCTGGATGCTAAGCCTTTGCCCCCTGCTGGCAAAAATGAGGTACGTCACAAGAACTGTGCTTTATAGTGGCTATTATTTTTAAGGGACTGTGTTAACATTGGAGAAGGACTAGCCTTTGATCTCTGAAATTTGTGTTTCAGTCAGTTAGCGATTCTCCTGGAATGCTCTTTATATAGCCAGATCTGATGGTTTGTTAACACAATTGATGATGATGATGATTGACCACTCTCAATGTTAAGAAAAGCAATTTTTATATTGTTAAGCTAATACTTTTATAAGCCGTATATGACCTCCAACTCTTGGGTTTTTAGTGGGTTTTCTTTCCTTTCTCCTATACACACACAACAAATTTATTCACAGCAAAAAGCCAGCACTCTAATACAGTTTGTAGATCCCCTCCCTAATTTCGTTGTAGTTTTTAAAAAATGCAAATTAAAAAAATTCCCTACGGGGCGGCCCCAAAAAAAAAAAAGACAGAGGGATAGGACTACTTTTGGCTGGAATCCTCCAATGGGCCTTCAGAGTAGATTTTCTCTTGAGAAAACTGTTTAGGTTAAGACTTTTTTTTAGGTTGAACAGAACAAAATCAGATAGCAGCCAGTTATACCAACATGAGTATTTAGGATCAAAGAATTAGTACAACATACAGAACACAAGCATACAGAAACCTACAAGTGATATACAGTGAGAGAAAAGTGCTATGAGATGGGACATTTGAATTTAAATAGAAGGAAGTGACCTCAAAGGAAGGGGAGGAATTGGTAGAGATGATCTTTGACTTGGACATGACATCACAAGACATCACATCCTGCTGAGCTCTTCCCTCTCTAAACTTTCCCCTCCCCGGGCACTGCCCCCAGATCTCCAGGAATAAATAACATTTAAAAATCTGGAGTTGGCTACCCTATTTCTTCTTCATGCTGTTATTTTGTGGTTATGTGTTCCACCCAAGTAAAAAAAAAGATACACAAATGGTTAAATCCAGATTCAGATTAATATTTCTTAATTCAAAATAAGTTTCATCATATTCAAAATATCCTTAATTTTTAATATAAATTCTGCTTTCACCAATTACCAATCTTGTCTTTAAAAGTTTAAAATATGAGAAGTGTCTTTACAGTTTTCTACTGTTCAATGTTCTTTTAAGTTTTATATTCAAGAAATGTGCAACTATAACTTTATTTTTATTTTCTTGCTTTAACATGAATAAACTTTTAGCTTGGTCATGTTTTATGCCTAAGGAACAAAAGTTATACTTCTGGCATTTATTTCTCAGAAGTTCCACTTATTGATGAAGCTTCTCTGAATTAAACATGTTTCAGTTCAGAATGTAACTCAAACAAATGTAACTCAAACAGTAAAACATTCATTGAAGGTTATTTACTCCCCTTTCATACTTCTAAAACATTGTGGATGAACAAGACATTTATAAAGTATACAGATTTTACATACTAGTTTTCAGTCCGGACAACAAGTTTGTAAATTTACATTTACAAACATGACCAAGAATGCTCATACAGTTACTTACATACTTGGTGAAGTCCACTAAAAGACAATTGTGGAATATGTGGTATTGAAAAAGTGAACGAAAACCTGAGTCAAAACAACATGTACTTGAATATAAACTACAATTGTTGAAATATAAGAAAAATCCATCTCAAAAATAGTTACTTAATTATGAATGCTAAATTTCAACAATCCTCTCCTCTTTCTCCCACTTTTTTTACATGTTTCACTTAAGTTATTTCACTACTGTCTATTCATTTGTTCAGTGCAATTAATAGAAGAGCTATGCCTGAGAACAGGGGAAAGGTAAAGAGACTCACACTATTCTGAAATAAAAGCTCCTAGGCTGTACGGTCCTAACATTGCTGAATCAGCAGTCCCAGAAAAAAATGGAAGACAGCTTCCCAGAGGTAATTTCAGCAAACAGCAGTAGTTCATACCAGTTCCTCCTTGCCACAGAACTCATTATTAAGGCATCCAAGGAGAATGAAAAGCAATTACTCATAATGCCAGATCAGAGATAGAAGCATCAAGATTCTGGCATAGGTAAAGGAGGAGAGGAACACCGTCCTACAAAACAGAATTGATGACAGGCTGCAAAGATACTAAAAAAAAATACTGTGATCCACAGAGTCAGCACTCTGGAGTCTTTTTACCTGGGCTGAGGTGGCTGCTGGTGGAGGTGGCGAATCATGCACATGGCTCTCTTCCTCCTCCGGAGAATCGTCCAGGAGAACTTTGCCGCTCTTGTTGAGTTTCCACATTCTCAGGGGATGGCAAGGTGGAGAAAGGGAGGGGGGAGAGGAAAGTGGGTTGGTGGTGCCCCTGTCTTATTTATTCCTGAGAGAGACGGAGCAGAGAAAGAGGGTAAAATGGGGGGGGGCGCTCTGCTATACAGACAAAACATAGCATCATCAGCACAGGCACAAGGCCAGGGAAAACTGGCAGGCTGATAAAAGTGTGAAGGGCTGAGTTGGTGGGACAACAAATGTGTAGGAAGGAGGAAGAGTTGACACAAGCAGCCCCCTCCCCTCTCCCGCACAGAGCCTCCACACCTAAAAGGGATCACCCCCATGTGCTTCAATGGCCTAAATTAAGAAGTGCAAGAGGGCGTGATGCTCCACCAGCCACCCAGTCTTGTCAGTGCCATGAGGTTGTGTCCACGGCGATTCGTAGGGGGCGGCACCACACGCTGTACCTGCCCGGGGGGGCATTCTCGTCTCCGGCTGCTGCAACGCGGGGACGGGGGAGGGAACTACAGCCAAGGGACGAGGTCGCCAGGGGCCCTGAGGCTGAGACGCAGCCTGCCGGCCATCGCCGAGCAAGCCCTGAAATCCCGCTGCCCCTCAGCCACGCCTCCTCCTCCTCGCCCCTCAGCCTGCAAAAGCGGGGCGAAGTTGGCTCCGCTGGCCGGCCAGGCAGACCCTTCGGACTTCTCCCCGCTCGCCGCCGCCCCGAGGGCCGCCTGGGCAGGGGGGAAAGGGGGAAGAAAAGAGGGCCCCGGCTCAGCCCGCCTCGCCTCGTCCTCTCACCTGTGACCTTCCCTCACCGCCGTCAAAGCCATCTCCGCAGCGCGGAGCCTCCGAGCGGCCGCTGCCATGTTTGCGGCTGACTGGGCGGTGGGAGGGACTGGGACGGGGGCAGCCGGCGGGAGGGGAAGGAGAACCTGAGGGAACGGGCTTGCCTCGTCGTCACGGCAACCCGCGTAGCGCGCGGACGCTGGGGCCCGGCGAAGGGAGGGAGGGAGGAGGCCCAACCCCCTCGCCTCGCCTCGCCTCCTTCGCCCCTCACCACGGTGCGTGCGGGGCAAGTAGTCCCACAGGGTGTTCGAAAGCCCGCGGGTCTGGCGCGCAGACTTCCGCCTCTGCCCCCCCAACCGACCCACCACCAGACACCGGCCGGACTAGGGAAGAGACCGCCTCGCGCGCACGTTTGTGCCTCCGGCCGCCGGGGGAAAAAGTTAACCCCACCAGAAGCGCCCCTCCGACAGACGCAGCAGACGCACACTTCGTCCTTCTGCAGACTGGAGATCGCGGAGAAGAACACCCATCCCTGCACTGAAGCAAATACTATTCTAGAGGGACTTAAGCTTCCCAAGACGCGAAGGTCGTATTCGATTGCCTGCCCCGTTCCAACCTTCTTCTTTAACCCACCCAAGTTGTGGCGCCTCGGCAGGACAGAGCCTGAAGGCTACGCCCATCTTCAAGCGGGCTATCTACAAATCTGAC